TGTTCTAAAGTAATTTTCTATCTGCTGAGCCTTTTGCAGGTCAAGTGAATGTACAGTAAACACTGCATATTGTCACTAAAACTACTTTGCACTTTTTTAGCACATGTACATCACCTACTTCAAGTACTTAAAAAGCTTTATGATGTAAAACTATTTTTTTATGCCTACATTTCTTATTTTGTAGTGATGCTACTCATTTGAAACATTTTACTCTTTAAAACATCAGAATTACATAACTATATAATTTTGTCTATCTGTTTACATCATTTTTCTAAATAGATGCTATGATCTGTTACTCAGTACTTTAACTTGTGATCAACTGAAAGGTCCCAACATAGAAACTGGTATTGAAGTGAATCTACCAATATTACCCCCCGATCAAACCTCAGGAGGCTCCTGCTGTAGCCTGTAGCCACTAAGATGTGGCTTTCTGCTGCTGCTGCTTCACTCTATTGAGTTTATCTGTGATTGTACTGTTTGGTGTTAGCTGATGTGATGGCAGTGATGTATGTTTGTGCTTGCATGTTCTGCAGAGCAGGAACCTGCTGAAAAACTGTATTTGTTCTGAGTCAGGCCAGATTACTTTTTAATCTTTTCTTGTTTTATTTTTCTAAATAAAACAAATAAATAAAAATGAGCTCTGCCATTTCTGATCAGGGTGCTTATTTATCTTGTCAGAGTTATAGCAGACGCTTGTTTGTGGCAGCAAAAAAGCATGAGGGTTCTAGCTTACACATGAATATATGCACCAAGGGCCGGATATAGAAGGATGTGGGTCCCTGGGCTGGGGCCAGTTTTGGTGCCCTATCCAATAAGGAAAAATATTCTATTAATGGAAATTACTGTAAATTAATACATAGTTTCACGTGACATCACACTTTCAGGAACTTTGTAGCTGGAAGCCATCTTGGTAGGTATCTGTAACTAACTGTTCATGACAGTTGCTATGGAGTTGGTATGACAACAATAAACAAGACACATTCTTAGAGCTAGCCCTCGCCTAGTTTCTAATCTATAAATCTATCTAATTTATAAATAATATAAGTACATTACAACTCTTACTTGATTACTCAATTTTTGAGTACTCTTCTTTCATTTTGTTGATCTCAAAGCCATGGTTCATCTGTGCTTTGTGCTACGCTTGCCGAACAAGATGGCGGTTAAGTGGCGGGGATCACTTCCGGTTCAGACTTGTGGGACAATAACTCCATGTTGTTCCCAAAGAAATTGACTGTAACTTCATAATTATCCAATACTTCAATGTGCTGTCTATATTCATAAAAATAACAAAATATTAATAGAACTCAAAAAGAAAAATAAGGAAAGAAAAATCCTTGGGCCCTCTCAAAAATCGGAGCCCTCTGCTACTGCCCGTGTAAGCCCTTTCTCAAATCTGGCCCAGCAACTCCACAATATAGATGGCTGTAACTTCCCACATGGGGATCAGAAATAATATAATATAAATCTAAACTCTAAATCTAATTGGGTTTTTTATAGTCTTTTAAGTAGATTGTTATATAATCATTCCACCCTGAGAAAGACCAGCTGATTAACAGCTCCAAATTAACATAACATTCATGGTGATAATGGGTGGATGTACATTTCTTTACTACGAATAAGACTCTTTCTGTCAAACTTGATCACTTTAAATGTTCCTGCTAAATATACGATCTTTATCTCCGCGACATGTCCGTATTTTTCACACAACACATCAGTGTCCCACATTCACATGACATCATAAGCTGGCGAGGTGCAGCAGCAGCGAGCCATTTCCTTCAGTTTGACCGTCCACACACTAATCACGCACCATACCAGCAGGACACGCAAAAACAGCTTTGTTCCGGACGCTAATCTCGACTAGCTGCCCGTGCGAGTCGGCGGAAAACGAGAAAAGAAATAGGGACAAATTACGAGGATTCGCTCCACTCCGTGTTTATAGTTTACAAGCTGCAGCTCAGGATGATCAGAGACAAAAGCTAACCGTCCCAACAGGAATCGACCCTCAACTGGACGTAAACAGGAGCAGCCGAAAGTAAGCAGGCGAGCGAGCTGGGACTGAGACAGCGCAGCGTGGAGGACACCGTGACTTTCCGCGCTGTCATTCCCATACGTTGTCACAAACAACCGCGCTCTGCAATGCACGCGGAACTGCGCATTCCTCTGGTGTCGCGTTATGTGCCGAGTCCAGGCGCTCGCGAAGCCAGTTGGTTCCATAGTGTAGCGGTTATCACGTCTGCTTTACACGCAGAAGGTCCTGGGTTCGAGCCCCAGTGGAACCAAACGAACATTTTCCACTCTGTCACTAAAAAAGAAGTGAAAATTCATTATTTCCGCCTTTCGGCCGAAAATTCAAACAGTACAAACCTGATGAAAACTTACAGTTCAAATGTGGGCCGTAAATTTTCTTCATGGTTCTCTGGATCTGGCTGATTTTCAGAGCAGTTAATGTGGTTATTTTTTATTTTAGTGCTTCTGTTTCTTTTCCCCATCTTGTTGTCCCTGGTCGCAGCAGATGGCTGCCCTGCCTGAGTCTGGTTCTGCCAGATATTCCTACCTGTTAAAACGGCGTTAATTCTCCCTTGTTGCCAAGGGATCACTCATAGGGAATTGCTGAATTTCTTTGCATAAAAATGTCCCGAGAATATTTTCTGCTATATATTAAGGCAATATAAACACAGTTTGCCCTATTTTTTAATTTTAATATTATTTTTTGGGATGAATCTTTTATTTTACTTGAATTTCCTCACTGGAAGATATGTATACTATATTTTTCTGCTCTATTAACTAAGGATATCTGAATTTGTGAGACAACAGAAACACAAACTTCTTGGCTCAACAGAACCTGCTAGTTTTTCTTTATTCATTAATTTAGAAACTATTTCTGGTCTGTTTGAAAGAAAAAGGCAAAAAAGACCAATTGTTTTGGGAACTAGTGTCTGGAAAATATGCTATTTCCATAAACATTTTGAAAGTGATTCAGGTTAACTATATATATTCGTTTGACTTCTCAAGAGAGTAATAAATCAAAAATCTTCCCAAATGTATTATTTACTGGTGTACAACTTCCTAATAACAGTTAATGTTTCCAGAACTAATGTACAAACCCATTATAACAATAATGTAATTCTTTCTTTTTGCAGAAGTCCTGAGGCATAAATCTTTTTTTATAAAAGTAAGTACACTTTACTGCAATTTTTAAAACTCCCCTTTAGCAAAAGCTGTTCAGAACCCAGAATGTTTTTTTATACATAAATTTATGTGTCAGGACATACTTTAAAAATTTGATGGACTTTGCAGAGTTTAAAAATCTTTCAACTCTAACCTCAAGTGTTCAAAAACATAAAAAGCTGTTCATAAAATCTAAGTACTTCCCTGGTTTCTCACTGCATTTAGGTGAAGGAAGTATCAGGTCAGGTGTTGCTATTTAAATTACTGATCATCAACAAGGGATGCCACCTCTGTTGCCAAGTGTCTGTTAACACGATGCAGTGAGGAAAACACCAGCGATGACCATAGAAAAGCACTAGTTGCTGACCATCATTCTGGCCAAAAAAATATATATATATAGGTGCCATAGGAAAGAAACAGGAAGTAACAGCAAAGGTGAAGCCAGCAAAGATTGCAAACAACCAACAACCTCAAAATCCACAGGCCTCAATTAGTATGTTAAATGTCAAATGACAGAACAATACAATTAAGATAAGACTATCAATCTGCCTTAGGTTTGGAAATATTAATCCCTGCAATATTCTTTGAACAAATGAGACAAAGTAAAGCTTTTTGGCAATAATACAGAATGCCATACTTAAAGGAAACTAATCATACCATGTAATCAATATATCTATCCTTCTGTATACCAATAAATTCAAAATATGATGTCATCTGTCTGACTTTTGAATTTTTACACAAACTAGGTCATGAAATAGAACAATAGTCCAAAACACAGCCATAAATTGAAATAAATCAACAAATTGCAATGAGCCAGTCAAAGTCCAAACCTCCGCAGGATGGGAATGCTGTGGTAAGACATGCCTGTAAACCTCATATCAGAGAAGTGATGTTGTAATAACTCCCCGGAGGTGCGAGAAACTCATATTGTCAAAAATATTCAACCTCCACCCCTCCTTTTTTTTTTTTTTTTTTACAATGTTAAACCTCAATGTACTTCATTGAGATTGTATGTGATGTCAGAAAAGTATAAACATTTTTCACAAATAAAACTTTATAAAGTGTGGCATGCATTTATTCATTCATCTGTCAAACTCAATCAGATTGGTTGGAAAGAGTTCGTGAACTTTATTTTGTAGCCCGTATCATCCTATTACCAATTTTATTTTGTAGTTGCTTTGATTTAAAAAACTGCATTGTGTCTATGCATTGGTGTGTTTTTAGTTGTATTAAATACAAATAGAACTACAAACCACACTTTTGATATTTTTATTTGTAAAGAAAATCTAAACAAAATGTATCCTGTATCTCTTCTGTCACTTCACAACCATAAAATCCAAGATTGTAGTTATAATGTGCTGGAATGTTAAAAAGTTAAAGCGGTATAAATATTTTGTAGTGTATTTCAAGAAGAATAGATAAACTGATGTGAAATTAATGTGTTTTTTCTACAAATTTAATGTACATGACTCGGTCTCTCTTTTATCAGCCTCCACAGGTGTTAACTGTTAACTAACTGCAACACCCTCCTGATATTTTAACGGCTGCTATTTACTAGCTAACGGGCACATAAAAAGTATTAAAAATAAAACATTTACTGACCTAATCTTCTGCTTTGTTGCGGAACAGCTGCATCTCCATCGTTCAGTTCACCTGGTTGACTTTTTAGGAAGGAAAACGTGACTTTGTAACCGTCCATCTCTCTGTTTCTATGCTGGGGGAATAAAGAAGGCAGCAACGGTTACCGTAGCAACAGCGCCATCTGCGTTCTAATAGAAAGTGACGACCGGTTGTCTTCGGCGTTGTTCGACGTTAATAACGGAATAAATTAAAACTCTCGGGGATCGGTTAGTGAAATTTTTGAAGAGGTCGAGAGAGGTCGCGCTGCTGGTGTTTGAGCGCGGCGCCTCTTCTAACAACCGGATGTTGTCTCCTGCTGATATCCTCCGGTGCTACGTTCATTGTGGTCCCCAAAATGGCGAACGTTGCTGCAGCTACCGTGGCCGCTGCGGCCGCAGCTGCCGCCGCGAACAGAGACCCAGCCGTGGATAGGTCACTACGATCGGTTTTCGGTGAGTTCAGCTTTAATAGCAGCGGCCAAAGCATGAAACAGTAAAATAAATCAGCTAATGAATGGAGACGTCCTAGCTTACACGTATGGCCATGTAGCGGAGGAACAAAACTCGACGCTAATAAGCAAATAGCTTCGTAATTTGAAGTGTGAGCTTCTTTTTTGTTTTTATTCAATATTCTATCATTTTGAATTCTTATTTCAGTTGGAAACATTCCATATGAAGCCACAGAAGAGCAGTTGAAAGACATATTCTCCGAAGTCGGACTTGTTGTCAGCTTCAGGTAAGTAAAGGAGAAACATTACAAGGATAAAAGTGCACATAATTGTCTCCATCCATTGTTTTTGTTTAATACAAGTGCCTCTAAGTAAAGTAGGATATATCAGATAAGGCAGCTGATTTCTGTAAATCAATTAAATTAAAACGTAAATTTGGAATATTGTATACAAAAATGTCGTAACTCCTGCATTCCTTGGAATAAATCTATCCTGAAAAAGAAGCATATCACTCTGTATATCACATGTGTCAAACTCAAGGCCCAGGGGCCAAATCTGGCCCGTCGTAGCTTTCGTGGCCTTCTAGACTCCAAATTACATCAATAAATCCCTCCAGTTTTTTATAAATCCACAAAACTCACACAAAATCGACAGATTCCCATATTTTTTTCTCAAAGGTTTTCCAAACACATTTGGCTTAAGTGACTGCTTCCTCAGCTTTACTTGATGTCAAGTTATATCTGTGACAGATACAGTGATTAATAAAAAGTCGTTTTTAGCATCATACATTAGCTCAAATATTGGAAAATTCCTTACAAATATTTCTAAATTAGCACGACAAAATCTGTGATTTAAATTGCAGAAAAACCACAAAAACCACAAAATCTTGGATGGACTGGTCAGTGTGAAAAGATGTTCAATATTATTTAATTTTAAGAACCACTTATTGAATGCTATAGCTATTTATTGATAATTTAACAATTTAATGGGTTTTATCAGTACAATCTGGCACTACAGGCCCTTTAAGAACATTCAGATATATACACCTCTGCTGTATGTAATAAATATAAATGAGGTTTAGTTTTTTAATTTAATTATTTAAACAAAAAAAAAACTTTCCTATGGTACCCTAGTTTATTGATATGTGTCATCCGTTGCGTCTTTTTGTGGTGTAGATGCTATTGTATGTTACTGTGAGTGTATGTCCCTTGTTTTTCTCAGGTTAGTGTATGACAGAGAGACAGGAAAGCCAAAGGGATATGGCTTCTGTGAATACCAGGACCAGGAAACGGCCCTCAGTGCCATGAGGAACCTGAACGGGAGAGAGTTCAGTGGTCGGGCTCTCAGAGTCGACAATGCAGCTAGCGAAAAAAATAAAGAAGAGCTCAAAAGTAAGTTACTGCATTAGTTAAAGCAAAGGAGATGTGGTTATGATTTCTGTCTTTGTGTGAAGAAACCGTTCTTCCTTTTCCGCACAGGTCTGGGCACCGGAGCCCCCATCATCGAGTCTCCTTTTGGAGACAGTGTGTCGCCAGAGGAGGCTCCAGAGTCCATCAGCAGAGCTGTGGCGAGTCTTCCACCTGAGCAGATGTTTGAGTTGATGAAACAGATGAAGGTAAGTTGGTTTACTGGATCTGTGACTGACTGTCCAAAATGTAATAGTTAATACATATAAAACTGAGCTTAAATGTAGCGAGAACTCTGCTGATGTAAGTCTGTAATTGTATGAAAGTTTGACTTGGAACCTGCATCTTTGTTTACCTCCTGTTGTGTATTTTGAAGCTTCTATCCAGTGTGTACCTGATGTTAACCTGATGTTTTATTTGTCTGATTTGTGAAATTTGATTTCTCTCCCCAGCTGTGTGTACAAAACAGCCCCCAGGAGGCGAGAAACATGCTGCTGCAGAACCCGCAGCTGGCCTACGCTCTGCTGCAGGCGCAGGTGGTGATGCGGATCGTTGACCCGGAGATCGCCTTGGTGAGAGTTAGGCCTGTCGATAAGCAATAAATCAATTAATCGCATGATAAATTAAGATGAGCTCAATAATTTCCATTTGCATGATTTGTTGTTTTTCTCTTTTCTCTCTTTCCACCAAAAACTGAAAGTCTTCAGTCTGGTGCTTTGGTCTCAACTAGGCCCCTTTTTTTTTTGAAGCACAATTTTGTTTAGATAGACTTCATAATTAAATTTATTTGTTGATTATGTTGTTTTGTTTATTTACTTTGGGTATTTCAAATGTCTCCAGTGTTAAATTAGAATTTAAAGTTTATTGATCTTTGGGTGTTCTTGCATTATTATGCCATTCCAATTATAATACCTGAAAATGGTCTCAAAACAACAATATTACCGTTTATCGCGAAGACAAAAACACGAATAGCTTGTTCTTCATGGCAACATTTGGAATTAGATTTGGGCATTAAGATTTTGATGAAACTGCTTTTCATTTTTGTACAGAAAATGTTGCATCGTCAAACAGCTGTTCAGCCGCTGGTGTCCAGCAGTCAGGGTGGAGGAGCACCGCCTGTCAATCCTCCGGTTCAGCCCAACGTGCAGGTGTCTCAGCCACAGCCTGTGGTAAGATGAACGCCAACCCTCTCTCCAACTCCAATCCTCACGCCCCTTCACAAACACACCTGAATCTAATAAATGGCTCGTTGCCAGAGCTAAATGAGGAAATCCAGCCGTTTGATTCAGGTGTGTTAGAAAAAGGATGCTTCCAAAGGTTGCAGGATAGTTGCTCTCAAGGACTGAAGTTAGAGACTCTGCTCAGATTTCTGGGATTCACATAAAGTAAAAACATAAAGCAAGCTTCCACTGTCCTCGTCCTCAGGTGATTAAATAAATCACATATAATCGCTATAAACTCTACAGTTGTGTTTAATGAAAGTTGAAAATTAATTAAAAGACTGAAAGCAGGCAAACGCGTTACAGGGTCATTGAGGACTGGGCATTTATTGTATTATTCATCAATATCATGAAAATTATCTCATAAGAAATTATTTTTGCTGTTTTTTTCCACCAGTTTGTTCCACAAGAGCATCCATGTATTTAAGAAAATTTGAAAATGTGATAAAAAGCAGTTACTATGTGCAGTTCAAGTTGCGCTCTGTTGCCCTGAAGAAGCATATTTCAAATGGGAATGTTTATCTGTGTGTTTGTTGCTATGATTGCTGCACCATGCATTCACAACCACACAGTTCCCTAAAAAAGAAGCAATGAAGTTTTTTTTATTGTAATTTTTATTGTTCTCACAGCACTACAACAAAATCCAGCAGTAAAATCCTAACTCCACATCGCCCACCATATTAATCTGAGCTTTGTCTCATTATCAGCCGGTCATGCATGTGAATGGAGCCCCTCAGATGATGCAGCCCGCCAACATGGGCGTTGTCCCCAACATGCCTGTACCGGGCCCTGTACCAGGACCCGGACCCGGACAAATCGGACCTCCAGGTAATCGCTACTCGTTTCTTATTCTACTCACTCGTGGCTTCCCATAGTAAGGATTGCATTACATTGTGGGATGTGGTTGAGTAAATATGCTAATAAACATCATTTTTGAAGCATAAAATTTAACTTTCCAGACATAATCTCAAAAGTATTTTCTATACTTCTCAGATTAGAATGTTAATAAAACCCAGAAACCTGCTGGTGATGAGATTAAATTCTTCCCATGTTCTGCTGCGTTAGAAAACAGAATCTGCTTCCTGTATTTGCATTTGGCTCCCCCGACCCGACACATCTGACCAGCAAACACACCGGACGTTCTGGTTTCTAGTGACCGGTTCTGGTTCGCCTGGAGTTTTCTCTGTTTGAAAAGAAAACTCCAAGAGAACCACAGAAAAAAAAAAAGTTCAGTTAAAAGTCAACAAACTTGACAGCTGATTTAGGCCAAACAAACTATGGATCACCCAAATCACCGTAAGAATGTGCGAGGCTTCCTTTTTAGAACTAACAAATCTAAAAATGTAACATTTTAGCATCAAAGTGTTGCACAAATGCAGTTCAGTTATCATAAATTCAGAAAGTATTCAGGCTTTAAAGAAAGTATTTAATATCGTCTACATTAAATTGGTTCTTTTCCTGTTTTTGGTCAGTGAGGATCACCACTGCTAAATACCAAAATAATGCACATTTTACATTGATATTTTTTTACCCTCTCTTCAGATTTGTAAGTTTGTATGAATTTCTTATGCTTGGGGCTCTCCTTCATCTGGAAGTTCCTCTGTTGATGTTTGGAGATTTTGCCTCAGGTCTGTTTCAAGGAGTCTCCCTGCAGACGAACCTTCAGGTTTCATAAAATTGCACCCAAAGTTAAATCTGAGTTGTGAAGGCCCACATTTTAATATATTTAGATGTAGCTGTCGTACATAGAGCAGGTGTTGCACTGAAGTACATCCACAAGTGTGTCTATTTTTAACTTATCAGAAGCTTAGGAAGTGGTGACATCATCACCATCTGTCTCATTATTCTGCTGTTCATCCAATAAATGTAGTTTGGTTTCTAACTGACCACAAACAGGAAAGGTTATGTCTCATTTCTGAGGCTTCTCTGAGTTTCTGCGACGAGCGTTGAAATCCCTCCTGGGTTATGAAGATCAGGCGTCACATTTGGAGTTGATTTGAAATGCAGCGTGGATCTGTGCTGAGCGCGGTGACAGCAGCGCCGGACGCCCTGGAAGACGGCAGAAATAAATCATCTGGGGACGTTTTGCATTAAATTATCTGTATACGCAAAGCTAGAGTCATGCTCTTTTAAGTTTCCAAAGCATCGCCATAGAAACCTATGAGGAAATGGTTGGGATTAGGACCCAGTTTTGAAGGGTGGATTTGTAAAAAAAAAAAAAAAAAAACCGCTTTTTTTTTTTTAGAAGGGGAAAATAATCCAGAGCCCCTCGGAAGGTAAAAACTTTTTTGTTTAATTTCC